TAAGTTGGGGAAAAAAATCAAGAATTAAATATGCAAAATAAGGTGCAGAACCATTTTTCAGGCTTGAATAAATATCTCCATTTTTGCGTTAGGACCACCAGTATCTGATAACTGAGAGCGCAATTATATATTATATTTGTCACTAAAAGCAACAGCAATATCCTATGACATCACTGCTCTGTTCGTTTTATAGTTACCCAGAGAAAACTAGTACTGTAATTTTTTTCTCTAACCTAAAGACAACATAAGCAACAGCAGAACTTATCCAAAAAATCACTTATTGTCCTATAAGACAACATGAGCAACAGCATGAGCAACTTGCATTGCATGATCATTTATACTAGTAGCTATTTTGCAAGGAAAAACAGATAACAGATAACCGTATCACACTACGCATGGGGCGGAATAATGGAAGACGGGGTAATCCCATCAAGTGGAACTTTTGGCAACTTACCTTGTAAAGCAGTTCAATAACTAATTTGATCTGTGCTCCGACAGGAGACTTCCTCACTGAATTGATGTGTTGAAGCCTTTCTGTATCATTTGAGAATTTAATAGCCTGTATCTGTTTTGCTGGAGCTGACGGAGCATTTGCTGGTCTAGACCTTGGAGCATTGTGTGACTTTGTGGTTGAAGCTTGGGTTGCAGCAATGCTGGATAGAGTTGTCTGGCATCTCTCCTGCTGTTGTTTAAATTTGCTGAGACGTTCATTAAGAGCCATCTGGACCAAAGATTGTTATACTGGATTAATGATATGGCACCAAACAACATACAGGATTACTTGGAACTGGACACCCAACTATCTGCCTGATACGAGCAAAACCAACATAACAAGGAATGCATAAATTACACTGCATGTTGAACGAGACAGAGTATTACCACATTGGTTTCAACTTTGACATTTTCTAACAAATAATGATAATGATCATAAATTGATAAGGAATAGCAAGTTTAAGGTGATCCTAATTACACAATACCCAGTGATTGCTACGTGTATGCACAGTCAGACAGATATAATCAAACATATCATATGTTCCTTCTCTGCATCATGTTTCCACTTTGCATTCAGTGTGTCCTCGTGAATTAACATTGGCATTCCAACAAGCTTTACTACAACTCATGAGTTAAACCTGTTATGCTGTATTCACCTTTTGTTCATCCAACGGAAGTGGTGAAACCGCTTAAAACTTGGATTTTGTGGCGTAATGGATTATTTTCTTGCCTGAATCTGTTGGGGAACAGCTTAATCCCATGTCGTTGTGGTTAAGGAAGTGATACTAAAACACAGGAATTATGTTCAGATCACATGTGTTCTGGAGTGATGTGCCCTTTATCTAACATAGTGAAGTATCAGTTCTACTCAAGCAATCCACTAAAATCAGTCTCTGATGTTGGATTAAGTGAGGATGCATGTGGACATCATTTCACCACACACTCAGCATCAAATTCTGCTGCGAAATATCCACAAAACACATTAGCTAATTACCGAATGGGCCTGTATGGCATCAACCCAAATCCAACTTGACAATCGGGACATTGCGCCCAAAAATAAATAAAAAAGCAGCTAAGAAAGGGGGACGATCGATCGTTCCAATAAGGTTTGATCCCTATATAAGATCCTACTGAATCCCGCCCAAGATTCTCGGATCCCGATCACGGCTCAGTCTACGAAACCAAATCGCAACCCAGGGAAGCAATCGACCCGGGCAGATCAAGCAACGGAGAACTGATGGACGCGGGGGGTCTGGAGAGTAGGGAACCCGTACTGGATCCGCGGCGGCGGGGCCGATCCGGCAAGCTCGACGCGCCCTTCGGCGAGATGCCGGCGACTGAGCGGCGGAGGGGCCCGGCGGCGATGCGGTGGGGGGCTAGGGTCTGGTCGGCCCAAGGGAGGGAGGCGGACGCTGCTGTCTCGGCTTCCTACCTCGCCTAATTTCTCTCTTGTGCTAGCGCTGCGCCTGCTGCCGTACATCACCCCACCGCATATGAGGACCGGGAATGATGTGAGTGGCGGGCTCACATGGGCCTAAATGGGCTAAAGAGGAGGATGTTTCTGGGACGCGCGCGGCTGCCGAGCGAGAGCGGGCCCAGGGGACGCGGCGAGCCCTATTTGACGCCCGCGTGCGTCAAACTGCTGCAGCTTCACTGAAGCGCACGCGGGCGGCCGGCCCAGTTCGCTGCAGAGCGTGCTGCCTGTTCGCTGTTTTGTTTTTTCGTTCGTGTTCTTCTGTTGCCTTTTTGTTTTGTTTTATTTATTATCTTTCGGTTTTACCTTTCTATTTATTTTAGTTATTTTTGTTTTTCTATTTCTAGTTTTATCTTTCTCTTTCTTTTTTCTCTTTTACATTAAGGAAATGTTTCATCCTGCATTTTTTCATTAATACTTTAATATGATGAACAGTGTGTTTCCTCTGTTTATTTTAATTTTTCTTCCTTTCTTGTGTATTATACAAGAGTTCATAGCATATTAAAAAAATGTTCATCATATATTTAAGAAAATGTTCACCTTATATTAAGAAAATGTTCATTGTGTACTTAAAAATTGTTCAGCATATATCAGAAAAATGTTCAATGTATATTTTCAAATTGTTCAAGTTATATCACAAAAATGTTAAATATGTATTTTCAAATTGTTCAGCATATATCACAAAAGAGGTTCAATGGGTATTTGAGAAATGTTCATTGTATATTATGAAAATGTTCAACGTATATCAACAAATGTTCAATGGTCGATTTTTTATTTTTGTATCAGTCACTACATATAGTTCTTAAGTAGTCGCGCCGCGTTTTGCTTGCAATCACGCAGCAGCTCAAGTGGGAAGGAACGCTCACTCTCTATCGTTGGGTTGGGAGTTTGATTCCTAGGTATAGCGTTGTTTTTTGGGATTTTTAGCACTGGTTCGCTGTAACGCCAAGAAACGGGCCAGCTCATTCAATCGCGCCCTGCGCGAATGCTTGTATTCTTGACGCACGCGAGCGTCAGGGAATTTCCTATTGGCCGCTCACTGCGGCAAAATGCGGGCGCTTCGCACGGGGGGGACAACCGAGCGACGCTGCCTGGGCCAGCCCACTTAGATACGCTACCAGCTGCCCAATCCGGTTTTGTGAACCTTCTAGAAGGTTCCCTGAACCGGGTTTTCGTTGCTTTCATCGGTTTTTCCGTTTTTTTTCTTTTTCTTTTTCTTTTTCTTTTTTTTTATTTTTCTTTTTCTTTTTTTCTTTTTTTCTTTCTTTGTTTTTCTGTTTCTTTATTTCATTCTTTCAATTCCCTTTCTTCTCTTTCTATTTCCTTTTTGTTCTTCAGATTTTCAAATTCCTTTCTGTTTCCTTTTTCTTTTCTTCTTTTTCGTTTTTTCTGTTTGTTTTCTTTCTTTGTTTTCTTATTTCATTTCCTTTTTCTTTTCTCTTTTTTTCTAAATATTCAAATTTTGTTTGCCTTTTCATCAAATGTTTAGTTTTTTTAAAAATTGTTCTCAAAATTCAAAAATTGTTCTCGTTACACAAAAAAGTGCAAAACTTTTGAACTTAATATAATGTACCAAACTTCAACTTTTTTGTTTAGGTTTTCAAAAAATGTTTGCGCTTCCAAGTATATTCAGGATTTTTCAAATTTGTTCTGTGTTTCAAAATTTGTTCTTAATATTCAAAAAATGTTCGTGCTTTAAAAAATTGTTCGCGCTTCCAAATTTGTTCTACGTTTCAAAATTTGTTCTCAAGATTCAAAAAAATGTTCATGCTTTTAAAAAAATCCGTGCTTTCAAATTTGTTCTCTGTTTCAAATTTTGTTCTCAAGATTAAAAAAATGTTCGTGCTTTAAAAAATGTTCATGTTCAAATTTTGTTCTCAAATTTCCGAGCTTACAAATTTGTTCTCCGTTTCAAAATTTGTTCTCAAGATTAAAAAAATGTTCATGCTTTAAAAACATGTTCATGTTCAAATTTTGTTCTTGATTTCAAAATTTTGTTCTCTAAATTCAAGAAATGTTCGGCATTTTAAAAAGTGTTCAGTTTATCAAAAATTTGTTCAAGCCTTTTAGTTTTTCTTCTAAAATTTGGAAAGTGTTCTCTTTTTAAGAAACACCTTTTCAAAATAATTTTCGTGTTAGGAATTTGAGAAAATGTTCGGGTCTCCAATACATTTAGCTCCGCACGCCGTAGCAAACCAAGAAAGCTTGTCTATCGCAATGGCGATGCTCGTGCATAGAAAGATGGAGGTCCCTGGTTCGATCCCTCTGTCGAGCAGAGTCGTTAAGGTGTATTTTGCAAACGGGCGCCTGCAGCGCCCCGCGCTGGGCTGGCCCATATAGGAGTTTTTTCTTCTGTGTTTTTAACACGCCAAAAAAAAGTGCGCTCGCGGAGATTTGAACAAGCAACCTCCCTCTTTAATCCCATTGTTAGAGTCCAGACCAAAATGAAGCCTCCCCGTGCGTTTGGATTTTCAACCGTTGGATTGGCCTTCCAAACTGATCCTGGCCGTTGGATCACGAGATGGGGAGATCCTGGCCGTTGGATCGCGACATGGGGAGGTCTTGGCCGTTGGATCAAATAGTGCTCTCCGGTTCGTGCCACCGCCTGTAAGTCCCATGCCCCAATGAGGGCATTATCGTCTTTTCTCACGCTGACATATAAAAGCCAGAATGTTGAACCCTAGCCGCCTCTCTCTCCTTTCCCCACTTCTCTGTCGCCTCTCCTCCCGTGGCGGCCAGCCGCGCTGCTCGCCCTCGCACTCCTCCTTGTGCTCCTCCGCGCGGCGCGCGCCCTCGCCTCGCGTTGCGCCTGCTGCCTCAAGCCGCCCCGCCGCACCCTCTCCGCCGCCGGCGCAGATGGGGGCCTCGCCGGTGCGCCCCTCGCCTCCATGCCGCCCACCGGGGGGCGCCTGGTTCAGGGCCGCCCTCGCAGTCCGCCGCCCGCCGGGAAGCACCGCGGCCGCTGGTGCTCCGCGCCGCAGCTCCTCAGTCGAGCTCACGCGCCGGCATCACCGGGAGGAGTGTGAGCCGCTAGATGGCCATCCATGTCGCCGTTGTCGTCGTTCTTCGCGCCACCGGATGGAATCGCCGCCACTGCACGCCTCTGTCGAGCTTGTGCCATTGCCGTCGTCGCGGGCAGGCAGAAGCCTCTGTACGGCGTCGCCGCACAAGCCGGATCTCTGCACCTCCTCTCAAGCCGCCGGATGGCGCCCTCCATTGCCTGAAGGGTAATACTTTCTCATTCAATTGATTCTGTCAACTCCTCGACCTATTTTGGTCGTGTATCATTTCTCGTACTTGGAGATTTAGGTTCTGCTTCTAAAAGTCTGAATAATCTGTTGAAAACCTGCCTGATGTGATACGACTAATATGTCTATCCGCTGATACAAGTGATTCGTTTGTGTGTGACGAGTTGTATGGTCATTCTGGAATACTCTAATTCTCTACTGAGCTGTATGTTTGCTAAATGAGTCAATTGATTATGTATTCCCTGGTCCTCTATTTTCCCTTTGCTCTCTATTTGATCCTAATGTTGTTGTTGATTATTCTGTTGTATATTGGTTATTTCGTATAGGCATAGTTTGAAGGAAGTTTTGGACAGCCGCCGTGCTGAATGAATTCCATACTGCTTTTCTTCATGATGGGGCTGAATGTGTAGAATTTGCTTCAGACTCATTTATTATCTCAGTTTTAAGATAATTGCTGGTTATTTAACAGGTCTCAAGCTTGATTTCCACTATGTTGGTTTAGCAGATTACTATTGCCTAGCTCAACTTCTCAAAAAGAGGAGCTGGGACCTGGGAGGAATGACTCATCTGGTACAGTGATTAGATGATGCCTTGAGGCTTTTGTAGACTATTCATAAATTTAAATTTCTTTGGCAAATGCTTCGCAGAGAACATACTCACTTTGTTCACTTTTGGCAAATACAGGATACCAAGCCTATCTCCATTGGTGGTTCCCCAAATCATAGCCAATCACCTGTAGCTCACTCAAGAATTAGAGACGATGAAACCCAAGAAACTGAAGCAGGAAAATCATTGAATGAGAAGCTAACATGTGCAAATGGGCCAAATGATTCTTTCCCACAGCATGGTGAACTACCACTGCCAGAGGTCTCTACAAGTGTAGGAGATGCTGATATGCAGGATTCTGTGAAGAGTTTAAGTGAGAAGCTCTCTGCTGCTCTTTTGACTATCAGTGCTAAAGAGGACTTGGTGAAGCAGCATGCAAAAGTTGCAGAAGATGTTGTTGCAGGTAATTTTTTTTCATATTAGATTGCATGCATTCATGTTAGCCAGTAGTTTCCTCTCTTTATTCAGAATCTCTGGGGAAATTAAGAAAGAGTAAACTCTTAGATGTTTTTTTTTTTGCATGCTCTTTGAGCAAATTTAGAATGGTATGGAACAAGAAGTTTATTTATTATATTGTAGTAGTAGTTAACTCATACTTATAAATTATTTGTAGGTTGGGAGCTTGCTGAAGGTGAAGTTAGTAACCTGAAGCGGCCACTTGATGCTTCATCTCTGAAGAATCCCTCTCTGGGGTCGCTCTGGTTGCCCCGTCGTCGTCGCCCATCCTCTCCACCCCACCCCGGCCTGTCTCCTCCCTGCCCGCCGAAAGGATGCTGCTGCTCACGCCGCTGCACCACTGGAGGAGCGCATCGACTGTGGCGCTCGGCTCTCCTCCCTGCCCGCATCTTCTTCGTCGCCGAGTAGCGGCAGGTGCAGAGGCGCGTGCGCTGCACCCCCACGCCGTCGACGCAAAGATTCCCATAACCAGTTCGGTGGCGACGCGACCGGCAGCGGCGGCCTCTTCTCGGCAGGCACAGACCGCAAAGTCGTCTTCTTCTCCGGCCTCTTCCACACCATCATGGACGCCGCAGAGCTCATCCTCGAGAAACTCCTCTACCAGGTACAACTATTCAGATTCAGGCCCTCTCCCTCTCCATCTGTATCTCTCCAGCTACTTATTACCAGCCAGCGATCCATTCTATGCGGAAATTCCACAATCGATTTGACGAAGATGCCACCCAAATAGGCCGCTCACAGAACCATCTCAACTGTTGCTATGTATGCTACCTTGTGTTCGGTTTTTTGTTTACTGATAACTACCTTCCACAAGCTTCACAACGTCCCAACTGAGTTGGATCTATCATTTAGTTATTGCTGCTTACAGAACCATCTCGTATGTTGCATTGCTGCTATGGTAGCTGCAGTTTGTTTTCTCATTCAGTGACAAACTACACACAAGGTGCGGTCATATACATCATGGCAGCGCCGGAAGGAGGCGGATGACAGCCACGCTGAAAGGAGCAGAGCACACCGTCGCCATGGGAGGAGCACCAGACCATCATTCTTGGGATAGCTCCATCTAGAAAGGGTGGCCTCTCCTCCTACGTCCTCGTCGGTTCCATCCCGTTCGTTCTGCCGCCTACTGCCTCACATGCCGCGCGGGTCTGGGAGAGAAAGAAAAATTCGAAGGTAATAGATGTTGTATTTCCCTATTTCCAGAATGTAGATATTCTGTATTTGATCTCTGAAGAGATGATTTAGATGTTTAGTCCAATACAGGTTAGTTGATTCTGCGTGCCTCTCTCTTTCTGATTTGCCTGTTCGTCCACCCAAGTATGGCTGCACGTGAGCAAAACTTAGTACAGGTTGGGCCTTGGCTTCCTATGGCATCATGACTGTTTTCCCTCTACAATCAAGTATCCCACTGTCTATATATGAATATTTAGTAGAGGAGTGCGTAGCTCTGTTGTCTATATATGAGTATTGCCGAGCTGATGAATTGATTAGCTCCTTGGTGTTGCTGAATTCAGCTTGCTATGCTGATGTAACTTTTGATAGGTCTGTTACAACTGGGCATAATGTAGATTGAGAATATACATTGATTTTTCTTGATGTTTCATTCGCTAATCTTAATATTTAATTGTAGTGTCTTACCTCTAATTCACAAATAAATACCTTGTGGAATTCCCGAATCCTTCAGTCTAGCGTATGTGAATGAAACTTGCATGCGGGGTGTGCTAAAGGTTGAGTCTGTCTAATAAGAGGCAAGGATAACAGAGCTGCTATAACAACTAATTGTACATGGTTTGTGCAAGCATCAGAAATTAGACAAGGTCATATCTGTGTATGTCTTTAAGACTTGGAAGGACCTACCGTCATTCACCATCCATAGGCTTGCTTTGAGAACGTCATTGCATAAATTATATTCTCACTGTCCATGGAACACACACTTTGAATTATTTGGCTAACAAAGGATCTTCATTAGCATGTCCTTCGTCGCAACACCTGGGCGAGCTAGAAGACAAGGTGTATATATCAGAATAACTTCATAAGGGCTCAGAATAGCATAGTACATTCTCCTGTTCATTTAATTTATGATATGTTTAGTGATGTTCTGTCATATGCATCTAGCTTACTGGCATATGCATATGTTATATAATTTAATTTGTGATATGTTCAGTGATCTTCTGTTCCTGTTGTAAAGTAAAAGGATAACAAAATATTAGGTCTCCTTAGTTCCAAATATGGTTCTATTTTTTTTTCCTTTGATGCTATGTGCCACACTATGCAGAACAAGGAGAGATTGTTGAGGCAGAGACGTGACGATTTTTGAGGTCATGATCATCACCATGAAGCAGAAGAAGTCATCATATCTTTGCCATGGCGAGGTTCTCACCTGCTTTGCGAGTACTTTGTTTGATATGCTCGGGCTTAAAACTGGTTTTGTGGCATCACTGATAAGGCAAATATGACAGATGCTCCAGTCATCTATTCTATTTTCTATGCTTTTTAAATATATGCCATCATAAGTAAGGCAAATCTGACAATTGTCTCTACTGCTCTGTTTTGCGGGCAATTTCTTTTCCACCGGCCCATTATAATCTCTGTTTGATAATCTGCGACATGCTCATATGGTAATGGTATCCTAAAATGAAGATTCATGTTTTGTTGCATATTTTCCCCCTCTTATATTTTCACCCTTACATTGGTTTATTTATCAAGCCTGCTTTATGTTATTTCTGTTCCAGTATAAAATTTCAATTCAAAGATAGTTCTAATTTGAGATTTGTTACCCTACTTTTGGTAGTACCTCCATGAGTACTAGGAAGACTTTTTAGTAATGTGGTGTTTTTTGGGCCATTCTTGCGGATATACTCTTTTGGGGTGCAAATTCTTATATTTTTTCACTCGAGATTCACTTCCATCTTCTGAGTTCCATTCCTCGACAAGAAAGATGCTCAGATAGAGCTATCCAATACACTACTATCACCATATAGAATATATTGGTTCTCTTTGATCACCGTTGGGACTTGCTTTTGTTATGCAATGTTGCATTTTCTATGACAAGCTCAAAGTGATGTAATGAATCAAACCATTACTATTTTCAGTGATTAGTTCTTTTTTTTAGAGCTGCTGCAAGCCGCACATCCTATCTTTAGGCTCTATAAAAATAGAGGCATCTTAGTTGTCTACACTTCCTATCTTTAAGCTCCATCAGAATAGAGGCATCTTAGTTGTCGAAAGTTTATAGATAATGATTTGGTTGGCACCATGCTGAACCTATTATCGGATTGGATATTACTGTATCCGGCAGCACCGGTGCTGCTGGGTGCGGCAAGCCGCATTTCCTACCTAGTACATACTAGTGCAACCACCCCGCCAATCACTTCGATGTGGTTAACTGGAACCTTTTCTTTCCCTTGTTCTTTCCGTTCTGTTTCTTCTTGTTTTTTTCATTTTATTTCGTTTTGCCTTTTGCTTTTTGTTTTCTATTTTTCTTCTTCCCGAGACAATAAATTATATGGCACATACATGAACTTTTTCGTCAAATCAATGAACTTATTTTGAAATTAGATGAACTTTCTTCAAATATTTGTGTAGTTTTTTAAATCCATTAAAAAAACTCATTTTTCTGATGAACTGTTTTCAAATCAGTGAACTTTTTTTCAAATCCGCCGAACTTTTTTCAAAATCGATGAACTTTTTTCAAAATCGATGAACTTTTTTCGGATTCGATGAACTTTTTATAATTATGATGAACTTTTCTCAGATTCGATGAACTTTTTCCAATTATGATGAACTTTTTCCATATGTGATGAACTTTTTCTCGAACCCGATGAACTATTTTCAAATCCGATGAATTTCTTTTTGAAATTTGTGAACTTTTTTCAAATCCAATGAACTTTTTCAATAAAAAAACTGAAAAAAGTTCATTGATTTAAAAAGAGTTCACGAATTTCAAAAATAGTGAACTTTTTTTCAAATTCAATGAACTTTTTTCAAAATCTATGAACTTTTTTTGAAAATCGATGAACTTTTTTCAAAATAGATTAACTTTTTTCAAAATCAATGAACTTTTCCAAATTCAATGAACTTTTTCAAACTCGATGAACTATTTTGAAAATTGATGAAGTTCTTTTGAATTCATGAACTTTTTTTAATACCTGAACTTTTTCATTTTGGTGAACTTTTTTTGCATGCTCATGAACTTCATCTATAATATGTGACATGTTTTCAAATAATTAGAAAATATAAACGCTACAGTGTAATGTGCAAGAAATTTCGCGTCTGTTGTTCTATTCTTTAAAAACTTCGCGCTGTTATTATTCATAAGCAGTTGGCTGGTCCAGTGGTTAGCCTCTCCGTGTGGAAGCGCTAGGGCGTGGGATCGAATCCCAGTTGCGATGTATTTTCTTTCTGTCCGTCTTTTGCGCTGAAGGCGCCCATTAGGAGGTCCCGGTATCCCAGGGGACACGTGGTGGATGAGGAGAGCTCCTGTTGCGGCCGAACCGCTCACTGGCGCACACTACAGCATCTTGTTGGGCCGGCCCGTGAAGGCAGTATGGAACGAACCTGTAGCACAAAAAAACCCGCAAAAAAACTGCCATCACAGGAATCGAACTCAAGTTCTCAGGCAGAGTCTTAGACCAGCTAACCACTAGACCAACTGGACACTTTTGACGAACATGAAGCACCAACCCTATAAGAGTAAGTGTGTTCGAGCTATTTATTGCACAATACCCTCTAATATAACACTTAATTTTTTAAATTATTTAAAAAAAATCGTGAATTTGAAAGGGTTCGTCGATTTCGAAAAATCATCATTTTTTCAGAAAAGTTCACAAACTTAAAAAAAGGTTCATCAATTTTGAAAAACAGTTCACCGGGTTTGAAAAAAGTTCATCAAATTTGAAGAAAAGTTCATCAATTTTTTTAAAGTTCACACAGTTTGGAAAAAGTTCATCAAATTTCTAGAAAAGTTCATCGAGTTTGGAAAAAGTTCACTGATTTTTCAAAAAGTTCATCGAGTTTAGAAAAAGTTCACAGAGTTTGAACAAAGTTCATCACAAGAAAAGTGCATCGAGTTTGAAAAAAGTTCACCAATTTTTTAAAAAGTTCATCGAGTTTAGAAAAAGTTCATCAAAATTGAAGAAAAGTTCATCAAACTTGAAAATGTCATCGAATTTGAAAAAAGTTTAGCCATTTTGAAAAAGTATTATCGAATTTGCTAAGAAGCTTATCGATATTTAAGAAAAAAATCATCGAACAAGGAAGAAGAAAAGGTAAAATATAAAAGTAGAAAGAAGAATAGAAGGAAAAGATGCAAGTAGTTACCTAATAAATGGTGGCGGGATGGCTAGTGCGGGCTAGTTCGACGCAGGAGGTCACCGGTTCGACTGTCAGCTCAGCCGCAATTTTTGTTC